CAGGAATGAACAGAAAAAGAGGAGTTAAGGAGAAAAATAAAACCCAACCAGGCCTTGAATTGGCTCGTTGCTTTGTTTATAGCTATTATTTATGGCAGTGATATTTCATTACACTGACCGAAATATTGGCTTTGATAAAAATAGCTATTCAAAAATAATTCTTCCAAATACAAATAGAATACTTTTTTCTCCATCACTCTGAAGACAAAGTGATTCATCAGAAATTAATGGTTTGGATTCTGATATTGAGCTTATAAAAAACCCCCGAAATGCTGTAGCGTAGTCAGATTGCTCCTCGAGGCTGACTCGACTTTGGTTGAAGGGTCACTTCTTTCAGTCTAACCTCATTTTCTCCCTTATTTAACGTTAAATAAGTTACTGCGCATCAGCAGACCCACAACTGGTTCTGAGAGTCCTAATCTGTTGCAAATAGATATTAATATGCAAAAGTTTGGTTTTAATCTAGCTCTGCTTCTAAGGATTATTTCTAGTAAATGATGCCTCACACCACAAGCTTGAAAGTAAACCCTCCAGGATGCTGTACGTGGCCTGCGGCATTAGTTAGTCTGCAGTAAAAAGGCGAATTGTGGACATACCACTCGCCATTATTTTGCAATTAATCATTACCAAGGTAAAGCTGTCATCCAATCAAGGTGATTTCATTTGATAGATTCGTTAATTGTTGTTAATTCCTCCATAAAAGATGCACCATATCAGAATTTTCAGGGCATGAACAGATGGCGGTGACTCTGCTGCCAGCTGCTATTAACACAGCCACAGCCACTACTGCCATTATAATTAAATATCTGTCGACATTTCCCTCGATGCTTCCCCTCTTACAAACCCCTCTCTAGAGACACGTGAACTTCATCCGAAGTATTTTGCTTTTCTTCACACGGCTGCCACAGCTGGACTCAGGTAAGCCCACTAATAGTTCTTCTTCTCAACTCTCTTAACACCCACGGCTTACTAGAGAAGGGTTTGGTTTTTAAGAGATGCTTCCAGAAGTGCTAATGTATTTTATGAAAAGACTATACGTTATTTTATGCATTTTTTAAAAAAAAATTGATTCAACTGGCCAGGAAGCAATCAATTAAAGATGACAGCAGCAATTCTACTACCTAATCTAACGGCTGATTATCATTAACTTGCAGGCACGTTTTGGTCTTTAATTGTTTTTCCTCTGAAGTTACAATAATTAAACAAATATACAACCAAATGGGGAAAAAAAAAAACCCAAAATGGTAAAACTTAGTGTAAGTAAAATGGGGTTCTGAGTTTCAAGGCTTTTTTTTTGGTGGAATTTGGGAAAGGCTGAAGTATCCAACTTGCAACTGTATCTTGGAGCCACCGATGTTTGAAGGTGGCACGTTCCCCCAGATCACTGTCATTTTTAAGATGAATTCGTCTCTTGCTACTAAAATACACCGCAGCTGACAGAAGCACCCAGGGTGCCTCCAGATAGCGATCGTGTGTTCCTCAATATTGGTACTTTACAGCTATTCAAATATTTCTAAAATAATATTCCTGACTTATATCAAGATGACACTTTTCTTCACAGGAGCCCACAGTGCCTTTCAAACTGCTTTCTGGAGCCATGTAATTCATTGTTAAAATCATTTAGGGGAAACCTGCAGTATTTATTTTCTTTTTATACCAGAAAGTACTCTTCAAAGTAATTGTATTTCAAAAGAAGGAAACCAAACGCATCGGTCGGAAATGGCATGAAAGACGAGATGTAAAATTTCAATGTGCGAGCCCAGCACTTTTTACCTCCCGCAGTTACGAGGACCAGCCTCAGGTAATAATATTTTACATGGACTGTCTTGATACATCAGGGTGAACCGGGGAGAAGTACTGACCTAAGAGATTTTACTCGCGTTTCCTTGCTTTATACGTACACAAGCATTTATATTTTCTATTATCATCTGGCAGGAAGAGAGCCTCTTCCTCTAGCTACCGAGAAGCAAAACCACCTGAAAATGTTATTTAGGATAACGTTGTAAGGAAGGGCAAATCAAAGAAAATTATTCTTGAATCCAGTTTCATCAGAGGAATAACATTATTCCTGCCATAATGTATATGTGCGCATATGTTGTGCTGTCCAGAAGGGAGTCAAGGGCACACTCCGTGATGAGGCAGGGCACGGTATGGATCACGTACGTTGGATGATGCTAGCACAGGGAGTCCGTCCTCCTCCTCAATCCTATCCATGGCATGAGGGATGATGACAATCACGGTCCCCACCTGAGGATGGAGGTGCGTGCCCGCACGGGCTGAGCTTTGGAAAGCAGGCTGGAGGGGAGCTCCGCTTGCACACACCGAGCACCGGACAGGCGTGCTCCAGATGCACATCGGCTCCAAGATATACACCGGACCCTAAAAAAATCTGAATAATCCAACAAAAGTGTAAAGTTGGAAAAAAAAGAAGGAAAAAAAAATATAAGGAAGAGGAAGAAGAAAGCTCCATCTGAAGAGAGTTGCAGGACTTCTCCTGCAGGACCTAAATATAGATGACCTCAGCCAAAGTCACTGGGCTTTGAGCTTTGATGGAGAACATGATTAAAGAGCGGGGCGGGGGGCGGAAAAAAAGGCAATCCCCACAACTAAAGGGTTTTCAAAGGGTTTTAATATTTACTACATCTAATAGCTACAACTTTTTAAATATCCCTGTCAGCTTTTCAACTCCTTCTCCCTCCCAGTCAATAACAGAAAGTCTGG